TATATATATATACACACACACATATATATATATATATATGTGTGAGTGTGTACATTTTTAGAATAATCATCCGATTAAGCGCTTATCAGGATTTTTTTTCATCCCAAATGGAACGATGAAATGTAGAGTCATAGCAAGATAATACATCAGCTATAGTGTATTAGTAACGTTAGCACATACATAGAAGCAGCCTGTAAAAGGTCAAAACTAAAATACATATTTATATATTGTATATTAAGTACTTCTATTAGCAATGTCATTTGTGTTTGTTTTGGCCCATTGAGTGCCGAATTTGAATTTGGGAGTTTTGAGATGAGGTAAATGTTCCCAAAATGACATCTTTAAGTTGTAGACACCAAAATAGATCCACTTCAATTGTTACACTCACATTTATTCCACGACATATATTCTTACAAAAAAGTGATTCAATTCATATTATGATACCAATTGTCGGTCATATCGCCCAGCTAGCCTAGCATCGCTAGTTAGGACCCTGAGCAGACATTAGTTTTAATCACGCAAAATCCTTTTTTATCCAATCACTCTCTTAATTGATGGGACACTCTGTACCATACTTAATTCTAAAATAGTCAATCGCTGCTCGCACCATTAAGAAGTCCACTCTCGTGATTAGGGCATCGGGAATGAGTGAATGCTTCCGAACAAAGGCACTCACTGTCAAAACGTGTGAGAGAAGACCTTCAGATGATCTATTGGCCAGAGGGCCAGACCGCACCTTTGTGTTCAGAAGTCGCTGCCAGCGTTAGGCATGCCGGTTGGACCAGTTTTGAGATAAATCCGCTCACACTGCAGAAGTGACTCTGGAGTGTTTGGAAGAAGGATGAGGCTTTTAAATTAGGCGGAATTGAATAAATTAAATTATTAGATTACTTGGGTGGGGGTTAGGGGGCAGGTAGCTGTCGAGGGTTTCAAACATGGGTGAGGGTTTTAAGCCAGAGTAAGGTATCAAATTGGTTTCATGTGTATCATGGGGTTTCAAGCCATGGTTTCAGGTTGTTGCTCTAGTCGTGATCGATAATGTTTCTACCAGTACATTTAAGGTGTTGTAGTGCGGACAAAGAGTGGACTAGTATATGGATAATTCCACACACTAGTAGGATATGGAATAAAGACCATATCGCCCATCATATTCTCAACACGGTGAATGAATGAAAGAGAAAATCTTCTCCTCCTTGTAACCATTTGATCTCGGTGGCGCTCATCGACATAATCTCACTAATCTGCAACGCCGTCGACGACTCTGTCAGTGTCGGTCGGGATGGGAAGCAGAAGCGTGATCTTACCTGCTTCCAGCTTGATGATCTTGACCGCCGTCAGCTCTCCGGTTTGGATATTGCGGGCCTGAAAGACAGTGGGACAATACTCACACATGGCTGTGCTTCAGGTCAAATGTACATTTTTTTGTGGGGGGAAAATGACCACCAAAAAATAAATATATGAACATACATTGAACCCCCCCCCCCAAAGAAATGTCACAAAACAGTTTTTATTGTGTGGTGGTGGTAGAAAAAGCCTATTCACGATCCACCCCCGCCCCCCAGTGTTGTGATTGCAATTTAAAATGTGACTCATTTTTTTTCAAGGTCCTTTTCCCGTGCATCTTTTTTAACAAACAAGCATTACATTGATCTGTATTACAATGAACACTATCAGATTTAGTATACATCACTGTTTTGGTCTTATAGGCTGCAAAAGACAATAAACCAATGCGAGTGAACATGAAACTTGATTTAGCTACTTCAATTCCAGCGGTTAACTTAGCAAATACTTTGACTTGGGGTCTATAGGGTCACTCTGACCATTTCACGGAAATTCTACTGAACAAGTGTGACGCAAACAGAAGTCATCTGTAAGTCAGAAATCAGATGACAACACTACTGCATACAAACCTGTGGCTTTATCACTTCAACTTTTCATGTTTCATGAAACGATATGTCAACGTGGACTGCACTTCTTGAGCACTGAAGTTCTCTTGACATGATATAAATCGATCAAATATACATAGAAAAATAAAGCCCAGTGACTCAAATGAAGCTGGCCACCCGCCTACCCCTCAAAAATTGCAGCCTCTGTGGTTTCAACATTGAATTCTATTACAATGCAATGTCGATCTGAAGTTCATTAATGGTTAAGCCCAACTGGGTATCAAAGAAGAACGCGTTTGAAGAGGGGTGCACAACCAGTCGATTGTGATTGACCGATAACCCGCAGACTTGTCCAAAGTCGATCGCAAGGTGTATATAAGGGGAAATGGGGGTGGAATTCTAACCATAAGAGAGACTGGTGTGCCTTCCTGTAGGTGTCCTTTTTGTCCCTATTGCCCATCCGATTGGGATCACTTTCCCTATTGTGGAAAACAACATTAACCCTTTTGCGTGTATGCGTGTTGGGCCTCCGGATTGAGGTCAAGACGGGACGCAGCCTCTAATCCGGCACAAGTCAAGTGAATGCAAATGCCTAGACGACAATAAAACCGGCAACGTGCAAGCTGTTTTCCTTGATAAAAATAAATAAAAATCTCAGGTGTTAACACCAGTGGGCACATCCATGATGGTGTTCAGCAACACTGATAAGATATGGCAAGAGAATACCAGAACTCCAGGCACAGCATTCAAATGCCAGCCTTGGGGGCTTCATATAGAAAGGAGGAGGGGCAGCAGAGCTGACTGATGAATGTTTATCTGCAGCAGATGGACAAACAAGGACCTTCTCCAGCACACCTCGCTTCATTTGGGACCAGCAAAATGCAAAGATTTCTTTTTGGAGCCTTTTAGGAATTTCTGCACGACTGATCTTCCACGAATTCTCCCGATGTCCCAACGCGGAGTCGCAAAGTAAAAGTGACCAGAGCTAACGCAAATGTTAAAAAGTAAATAATTGAACTTGTTAAATCCTTTCACAACAGTTTGCGTTCAATTTTTTTCGCTAATATCTGGGACACCCGGCTAAGCTAAAAGATTAATTAATTTTACTATTAATATTACTATTATTGTATAATATGTAAGATTTAATATGAAGAAGTAACACCTATGCTACAAAAATCTGTGTGTGTGTGTG